AATTATATTGAACTTGTTTATTTATTAAGTACGTCAGATAAATAATCTATTAAAAATACATTTAAAGAAAGAATTAACTGATTGCCTCTGGAAGTCGGCTTCTTATAGAAAAACAGCTTCCCTATTATCAAATGTCATGGCACGCCACTATTTTGCGTTATATTTCATAACCCTTTTTGAGCTATAATTTTCAAATTTTGCAGGAATACTTCTACTTATGGGACATTAATGCTGTTACACATTGGAAATTGCAACTCAAGAGAGGGCACAGCGGATAGAGGCTAATATCTCGAATGTAGTGAGACATTGAAAATTAACTCGTATGAGTTTTTAGCTAATTAAAACAAATATGGGAAACTTTTGTCGGGTATATAGATGAAAATCCGCACTAGGATAACGTTGACGTTCTAAACCGTATCTATTGATAGCTCTTCTGAGGAGGCGGCCGGATGGCCAGAGCGGTGGCAGCCACCGCTCCGGGAGACCCGGGTTCGAATCCGAACGGGCCGAAAAATCCCTAGGAATTTTTCGGGGACATGGATTCATGGGGACTAGGAATTTCCGTTCGGACATGTCGGGTCTCGTCCCTCACCACCCCGCAGCCCCATTGTGGGCCTGGCCGAACCCATAATGGGCTTGCAATAATAGGCCCTCTTAGTGCTCACAGGGCGGAAAGAGTTAAAAAAAAAAAGCTTTTCTGGCGAAATGTGTTTATGAAATTTATCGACGTCATAAAGTGTTTTCTCTGCACTTGGGTTTGCCTTTAACTTTTTTATTTGTAACTTTTATTTCATTATTTACATAATGTTTTCGAGTTTTAGAGTTATCTGCCCTCGTAAGTCACAATGGAAAGAAAAATTGATTTTTCATGTATTTCTCTACAATACAATTACGTAAGAATTTGATAAAATAATCTGACTTCATCGGTTTAAATAATTAATTTTTGAAATATAATCGTCTTTACAATTTTGAAACAATGCACGCCTACCCAAAACAAGGCTTGCGGCTGAATGGCCGAGCGGTCAAGGTGGCAGCCTACTGTTCTGGGGTACACGGAACAGTAGGCTGCCACCTTGGGCAAAAAACTCCAGGAAATTTTCTGGGGGTGGTCCGTTCGGATATGTCGGGCTCTCCGTCCCTCACCATCCAGCAGCCCCATTGTGGGCTGGCCGAACCTATAATGGGCTTGCAAAAAGAGGCCCTTTTGGTGTTCACAGGGCGGAAAGAGTTAAAATTATCACAGATTATAATATATCCTTTGTTTGGAATCTAACCTTTATTTTGCTATCGATGAGTATTACGAACTAATATTCTTTATTCATTTTATTTTGAACAATAATATAAATTATTGTGATAAATATATAGACCAGTAGTAATACATTTACGATGTGCTAATATTTTTAATTAAATTAAAAAATAAAAAATAAAAAAATTTATAAAATATTAAAATTAAAGGTCACAATTTAAATATTTATCATACATTG